TGGGTTATAAATAGACACACAAACAGTTCCAGGAGGGCAGCACAGGGAGTAGGGCGGTGCTCTGCACCCACAGCCGTACTGGGCAGGGCTGCCCTGCCCACACCAGCCCTGGCACTCCCAGGGGCATGGCCACGAGCCCCCGGCTCTGTCCCTCCTGGAGCAGGGAAGGGTCGAGGGTCCACGGGGCTGGGGGAGGCCGGAGAGGACGAAGGAGGGGCAGGGCGGCCCTCGGGGCATCAGCTCAGCTGCCCCAGGTAGTCTGAGAGCAGCAGCTCGGGGGGCAGGAACACACGGTGTTTGTTGCTCACTTTCATCTGACGTTTCCCTTCGATGTCCGAACCTGGGGGGGTGGGAGGGAGCAGTCAACACACCCCTGTCCCCCCAGACACTGAATTCCCAGCCCAGCCACCTCCCTCTACTCCTCCCCATGGGGCTCATGGCCTCCCCTGTGCTCTGTGCCCCGCCAGCCCCAGACACCTCTCCGTGTCTCTGCTGGCACCACGGGCTTCATCAGTGCTCTCTCGCTGTTTTCCACAAGCAGCTCCGCAGGGACGGAGCCTGGTGTCTCTCCTCCCCTACCTTGGCAACAAAACCTCCAGGGGAGGCCCAGGGCAGGCTGCTCTCTGGGAGGAGGCAGCAGACACAGGAGACAGAGCCCTGCAAGCAGCCTCTCACTTTGGGCTACGCAAACCCCCCTCACAGAGCTGGGCCTGGCCGCCCTCCCGGGTTCTGCCAGCACTGGTGACCATGGCCAGGGCTGCCCAGGAAGCTCCAGGCAGGAGGGGGGAGCACAGGGTTATCTGTGAGCCCCAGCACGAGGTGGGGCCGGGAGGAAAAGGCTGAGCTGGAGAGGAGAGATAGTGATGGAGGAAAGGGGAAAACAAAAACAAAATCAAAACTAAAAACAAGCAGACACGAGGCTCTTACTGGCAGAGACGAGATCCATGTACTGGCAGAGCGCGTGGAGCAGGAGCCGCTCGAAGCTGGGGGAAACGGGGATGGGGTTAGAGCTGATGTGCCTCTGAAGGGTCCCACACGCTGCCCTGCCCTCAGTCCTCCCAGGGACCCACAGAGCACAAAGTGCCACGAGCTCCTGTGCAGGAATCCCCAGGGGCATCCCTGCCCCAGGGCTCCGTGGGGACCAGGCCAGGTGGGGTGTCCCCAAATGGAGACCTGAGGGGAGACCAAGGAGTGTCCTCTGCTCACAGAGCCCCTCAGCAGACTGGGGGCTGGACACAGTGAGCCCCAGAGCTCAGGACCCCAAGCTGGGGAAATACCTGTTGTCCATCAGCGCTGTGTAGACGGAGTGGGGAGTGACAGAGAAGAAGGCCAGCAGCTCCTCCTCCAGCCCTTCCAGCGTCCCCTGTAAGGAGAGGCAGGGGTTCAGTGAGGAGGGGGCTGTGATGGGCACAGCCCCAGCACTGTGGGGTCTCCAACTCCCCAGGAGTTACTGCCAGCAGCTCCCAGGCAATGACCTGGATGGGAGACAGCGAGAAGGCACTGGGACAGGAGACATCTCAACTCTCCAGCCCCTGAGGCAGGGAAGGATCCAGCCCCTGCCAACTCCACACTGCGTGTGCCAAGGGCTGGCACTGTCCCTCGTGTTCAGAGCAGCCAGGGGAGCCTCGTGCCTCCCAGCACAGGGCAGCGCTCTGCAGCTCTGCAGAGCACCGTGACCCTGGGGACGAGCAGCGGGCACATCTCATTTGAGGACAAACAAGCAGAAGCCAGTGGGCAGGAGGAGCCCAGGCTGAGTTTAGAGGCTCTAATTAGTACCAGGAAAACAAACAGGGCAGCAAAACAGCCCCACTGAGCAGACTGAGCGGGCAGCCAGCACCCCGGGGCCGGCAGAGGCAGTGTCTGGGCAGGCAGCGCAGTGAGTGCGTGGCAGCCCAGCTCCTGAGCCCACACTCACTTCTCCCCATCCTGCTCAGCAGCTTGTGCACTTCTACCCCTTTCAAAATGCATTGGAGTTTTCCCAAATAACCTTGCATGGGCCACTGTGAAGACCCCAAATGCTCTACTGCTTTCCCCATGTGCAAACACGCCGGGTTCACCTGTCACCTGCTGCTCATTGCACAGAGACTGGGAAACAGCTACTGAAAAGGGTCCTGTGACTGCCAGAAAAATCTGAACAGAGCCAGGAAAACCCATCTGCAGCCAGCCATCACCACAGGGTCACACAAGGACTGCAGCACATTGCCAGGAGCTGCTCTGAAATTTGGCACCGCCCTGGCTCAGCACCCAAAACAAGGTCAGGGCACAGCCCTGGGGACACTGCTGGGGACACGGCCCCGCCTGCCCCCACCTCGCCACCCTGGGACCCCCACTCACCATGGGGATCCGGCCCCGCTTCAGGGTGGCGCGCAGGCGGCGGCTGATGCGCTGGAAACACTCCTGGGGCGTGTAGGCTGGGAGCTCTGGAGCGGCAGAGAGAAGGGAGGAGGCACTGGGACACAGCTCGCAGCCCCTGCGCCCGTGGGACGGCTCTGGCTGCAAAGTGTCCCCCCAGCTGCCCCGGGGGACCCTGGCTGGGCACCTCCTTCTCTCATGGGTCACAGTCATCCCCACACCAGCAGTGCCTCCCCCAGCAAGGAAGCGTTTGAGAGTGCTGGATTTGGGGCTGTGCCATCAGGGGACAGCTGCTGTGCCCATCGCCCCAGCCACTCCCGACTCCCACAGGCCATCCTGGCTCCATGGGAGCTCTGCAGGCATAATTGCCCCAATGGAACACTCAGGGGGTGGGCTCAGGTCTCCCCCCACCCCACCACAAACAGATGGTGCAGGGAGCAAGTGCAGCCCTTGGGGAAGGTCACCCTTCCCAAAATGTACACAAGGAAGGAAAGGGAGGGGCTGTTCCCACCCAGTGTCCCCTCCCAGCACCTTTCCACTTGTCTTCATTCTTGACAGGCAGCTTCCTCCTGTGCTTCTTCCTGGCCTCCTCCTCCAGGTAGAGCAGGACCCGCTCCTGCTCTTCTCCCGACCGGTTCATGAAGTCGTTCCAGATCTGACAACAGAAGCCACCGCAGGCACGACTCGTCATGAGAGGATCTGCCAGGATATTCCTCACCCCAGGACCTCATTGCTCTCTTGGCACATACATCAGCAGCCAGGCACCAGGCCCACAGATCTCAGCCCTGACACCAGACCAGGCAGAACCTGGGGTGCAGCACCTCAGGTCAGGGAGGCAGAGGGTTCCCCACGATGGAGAAGCAAAGTACAGGCATCATGTGCCATGCCAGGGCCCCCCCAGTGAGCCCCAGGCTGGGGGGTGGTTGCACCCACCTCCACGTAGGTCTCGTTGTTACAGGCCTCGGTGAAGATGCTGGGGGTGGCGGAGTGGTCAAGCTCTCCCTCGTCGCTCCCGCAGTCATCCCGCTCCAGAAGTGTCATCAGGTAGCGAGCTGGGGGCAAGAGCAAAGCCTAAGAGGGGAAACAGCACATCCAGAGAAGCCCCCTGCCCCCAGTACACCCTTGCCTGCCTGCCACACAGTTTAGGGGAGGTTGCCACCTGCTCTGGGGAAGAGACCGTGCCCCAGTCCTTACTGTTCTCCAGCCTCTGGAGGCTCTTGCGGCCCTTGGCCCTCGGGATGAGGTCAGAGTTGCGGATGGCCTTGTTGATATAATACTGTTTCCTCTTGGACGGGGAGAACCGCTTGGACGGGGAGTCCTCCAGCGGGGGCAGGCAGTCCTCGATCCTCCTGCGGGGACACAGCAGAAAGGATGAGCCCACCCGAGCCCCACGGGCCTGGGGCAGCTACGGCAGAGCGAGGAAGGGGGGGCTGCACAGAGAGTGCCTGTGGTGGGGGCGATGGGGAGGCAGAGCATCAGCCACCAGCGTTCCTGCAACTGGCACCTCACCCTCCCACAGGGCTCGTCCCCCTCGGGTCACTGCCAGCTCCAAGGTCTGGCTCTGCTCAGAGCAGCTGCAGGTCAGCACTGGACATGCTGGGTCATTAACCCCAGCAGCATGTGAAGCAAAATCACAGGATCCATTCCTGCCATCCCCGGTGGGATCAGCAGCTGGAACACCGTCCCTGCCAGGCCACTACCAGCTCCCGGGGCACCCAGAGGTGTCTGGTCACTGTTTACAACAATTCTGCAGTCAGGGTATTATTTAGTCACAGGCATAACTTAGGAACGACCATAAACCGAGATAAGTTTGGGTGTAAAAGCAGCCAAGCGACGAGCGAGCAGCTCGCTGGGCGTTGAGCGCAACCGCTCGGGTTTCAAAGTTCACCGAACACCAGAGACAGGAAGTTTCGCTGTCTTTGCTTGTTCTCTGCCCACTTGCGAAGGAGCTTCCCCTCAGGGTTGTGTGGGTTTCCTTTAGAGCGGCAGAGGGTGGGTGAGAAAACGAACACCCCCAAAACAACCGCCCAGGATTGTCCATCAGGGACGGGGAGCTGCCGAAAGCAACTGCTGTTCCCACTGCGACGGCAGCACCGCGGCCTTGCCCCTTCCATAGGGCCACGTCCCCCCCAGGCACAGCTTCCCCACCGTGTCCCCTCCTTTCCAGCGCCCCAGGGCTCAGGGAGCCCCGCAATCAGGCCTCGGCAGAGCCGCCCTGGGCTCGGGGCAGAGCAGGTTGTGCCGCCCGATTGCGGCCCGGGCCAGCAGCCAGCTGCTCACCCACGCCAAAACCTTGATTTTTTTTTCCCTTCCCCTGGATGGGGGCAGTGACGTGTGCTAGGGGGGGTAAAAAAAAAACAAACACCCACTTCCAGCTGGAGAGAAAACCATGGCAGACGTGGGCTTGGAAGGAATAAAAAGTGCTACAGGTATCCCAGCGATGCTCAAAGGACGGGTGGGGAATGGTAACCCAACCCACCACAGCGAGTGACCAGGGCTGGCAGATCGAGTTTTGATACAAAGGTGGTTAAAAGAAAAAAAAAAGAATAAACAGAGGGAGTCACCTTACGCCGGCCCCAGCTCAGGTTGGAGTACACAGCTGTGAGCCAGGCACTCCCTGGAGCTGTCACGGCTCACAGGCACGGCCCTGGAAAGAGCCCCCCAAAGAGGGGAGTCCAGGCACCACACTGCCAACATTTACCCAGCTCTCACAGGGCAGGGCAGCAGCGAGGGGGACTCGTTGTCGTCCTCCTCCACTGGGGGAGAAAAGATGACAAAAGCCTCCAAGGCCGTTCCTGGCTGCCCTGGCATCCTGGGCTGCCACGTCTGCCCTGGCACTGCTGCCTCTGCCCAGCACCGACCTGCAGACCCACAGGGGACAGTGACCTCAGGTCGCTGTCAGACAAGCTCTGGTGACCTCGGCACCAAGGCCCCGTCCCGGGTGGCTCAGCCAGGCCGAGGGGGGATCCCAGGACAGGGATCCCAGCAGAGCTCGGTCCCTGGGGACAGAGCAATCCCTCTCGGGGGCCGGCAGCTCGGGGGCCACCGGAGCACGGACAGTTTTGCGTGGCTTCTCCTCCACTTCCCACCTGCAGGCAGGGAATGCACAGACCCTCGTTCCCTGCTGGGGGGGTTTCCATCCTGTTCCTGTTATTCATCCTTTAGCAGCGGGACACGGCAGCGACACGTAGAGCAAAACCCCCGCGGGACAGCCGGGGGCTGTCAGGGACACCCCACCCTACAGCCCCTTCCCGCAGGCTCCGGGACCCCCGGCCGGGCTCCCCAGCCCCGGTGACCGGGAGCACCGTGACCTCGGGCAGGGTAAACGCTAATTAGCTCATTAGGGCTGTCAGGGCTCCGCTCTGACCCGGCCGCCCGGGGCGGGGGCGCTGGGGACGGGCTGTCCCGGGAGGCGCCGCCGCCGCCCGAACGCACCGACAGCCCCGGGGCGCTCCGGGCGGCCCCTCCCGGCCCCGCCGCCCCACGATCCCGGCCCGCACTCACGGGAACGGCTCCTCCGGGCCCGCGCCGCCCCGCAGCACCACCATGGCCCCCTCGGCCCGGGCCCGGCACCGACACCGGGACCTCCCTCCGGCTCCGCCTCCGCCTCCCGGGCCAACACCGGCGGCACCCGGCCCGGCACCGCCCGCGGGAAGTGACGCTTCGGGGGCGGGACCGCGGGAGCCCCGCCTGGGGAGCCGCGGGGGGCGGGGGCACGGGGGGCACGGCGGGAGCCCCTGTAACCGGGGCTCGGCGGCTGCCGGGCCCCGTTAACGCCGGATAGCCGCTGATAACCCCACGTTAAACCCTGCTACCTTCCCGTATAACCCCCTGTGAACTCCCCGTTAGCCTCCATTAAAATCCACCAAGTCCTCGTTAACCCCCTCCCGTTGCCCCCCGTCGCCCCCCGGTAAGGCCCCGGTAACCGCCCGCCGCGGTTTCCCGCCAGGCCGCCAGACGGCGCTGCGGCCGCGCCCCCGCCCGGGCCCCGAGCCACATTTGCATGCAGGCGGCGGCCACGGCCCAATGGCGGCGCGGGGCGGGGCGCGCGGGGCGCGGCGGGCCAATGGCGGCGCGGGGCGGGGCCGGGGGCGGGGCCGGGGCAGAGCAGCGCCGCGGGCCCCGCGCGCACCGGCCCCGCCGAGCCCGAGCCCGACCCGGGCGGCCGCGATGCGGCTCCGCGGCGCACGGCCTGCACCGGGTAAGGGACACGGGCCCGGGGGCACCGCGATCGGGGGCACCGCCGGGGATCGGGGCTGGGCTGGGCGGGACCGGGACCGGGGACCGGGGACCGGCCGCCTCCCCCAGGCGGGCTGGGCCCTCCGCGGCCGGTACTGGGCGGGAGCGGGGCGCCCCCTCTCCCTGCGGCCGGTTACCGGCTGCCTCCCCCGCGCTGGGCAGGGATTCTTCCCCCCCGGCCGCTCCGGGCCCGGCCCGGACTCTCCGTCCCCCGCAGGCGCTGCCGTCCGGCCGGACAGAGCCCCCCGGCCCCGCCCTTGCCCGCTCCGGGCCCGCGGCCTCCTGGGGTCCGGCCGGCGGAGGAGCCGGATCAGCCCGGGCTCCTCTCCCCAACCCGCAGCGGCGGTTTCCCCTCCAGATCGCGGGGCCGGGGCTCCTCCGGTCCCCACCACCTCCGTGCCCTTTCGGTCTGGGGGCTGCCGGTGCCACGTGCTGTCGGGAGCGGGGCCGGGCTCAGCCCCGGGACGTGTCCCCTGCCCGCCCGGGGGTTCCTCCCGCGGTGCCCCCAGCCCCTTTTTCCCCGGGGACGCAACCCGTCGGGTCCGGGCTCCCCGTCCTCCTCCTCCTCCTCCCTCAGCCTCCGCGCCGCCCCCGGGGCCCCTCCCCGCGGTGCCGGGATCCCGCCCGGGGGTGTCCGGCCGCGGCCAGCCCCGGTGTCGGTGGCACAAAGGCCCGTCCGTCACACCCCACCCGCCGCCGCCTATTTTTAGCCGCTGTCGCTCCCGAGCACCTGCCCCGGCGACGCGGGTGCCGCCGCCCCGAATCCCCCGCGGGACCCCCGTCACCGCCCCACGGCGGGCACGGTCCGGGTCCCCTGGCCCCGAGCGGCCGGAGGGACAAAGGGGCACGGCTCAAGGTCACAGGGGTGCCCCGGAGCCCTGGCTGTGGCCTCGCCGGTCCGGGTTCCCCGCGGAGACGTGGCAGCGTGGCCAGGGCTCGAGAGGCAGCTCCGCACCTGGCGCTGGCACCGAGTCCCGCGGGGAGTCGCGGCTGGCCGGAGAACACGTGCCCGGGACGGGTCTCGCCCCGTTTCGCTCGTGGCCGGTGCAGGATTCTGGGCTCAGGTGCGGAGCAGGGCAGGAGCGCGGCCACGGCCGGTGAGCAGTGGCTGCCCCAGGGCAGGGAGGGTCCCTGCCCCAGCCTCCTCTCCCTGTGGTTGAGACCGAGATGGCCTGGGTAGAGGAGGGGAAACTGAGGCACGGGCAGAGTCTGGGCAGTGCCTTCCCGGTGCTGGCTCGTGGTGGCCGCGGAGGTGCCGTGGTGGTGGCAGCGTGTCCGTCCATCACGGGAGCCGAGCGCAGCCGGGCCGGGAGCCGATGCAGCCTCTGCCACAATGGGGGAAGCGGCTCCCACCCGCTCGGCCACGGCCCTGGCCCGTGCTGGGAGCAGGTTCCCCTTTCCAGAATGCGCGGGATCGTGGCTGCTGGCCCCTGTGTGCTGCTGCTGTCCTGGCTCCGCAGCCCCTGGGTCCGGTCCCTGCGAGGTTCTCGGGGTCTGTGCACTCCACTGGCCCCTGGGCAGCTGATACAGGCGGCTTTGCCCATACACGGCACAAACACAGTGGTGTGGTGAGCTCCCTACCTGCCCTCAGCACAGGCAAGGTCACATCAGAGCCCCAGTTGGCTGAGGGGGCTTCTGGTGGCACCAAGGCTCAGGGGACCCAGTGCTGGAGAGGGTCCAGGCCAGGGTACTGGAGTGCCACAGGCTGTAAGATGTCAGTTCCTCTGGTGGTTTCCAGTGGGGTGAGGCAGACACGAGCTGCTCACAGCCTCATGTTGCTCTGGAGGACCCTGAGTCCTGGGGAAGGGGAGGTTCTGGGAGTGGCTGAAAGGGGGTTTGCTGGGGTTTCAAGCGTGAGGCTCTGCCTGCCCATCCCATGGGTTCTGCCCTGGGGTCCTGCAGCTCCCCCCTGCTTTGGGGCCCCTTCACTGTGCAGTGCAGACTCTGCCCACACCCTAGTGCCATCAGGAAGGGCCCAGTGCTCCTCATGCAGTGTGTCCCTGGTGGGGACGTGCCTTGTCCCCTGTGGGGGACCCATTGGGTGGCTCTCCCTGGGGTCTGTTATCTGCGGGCACGGGTCTGCTGGTATCCACTGCCTGCAGGGCCAGGCAGGCTATCGGGGTCCGGCAGGCCCCTTCCCCCTCCAGCAGCAGGCCCTGCCGCCCTATCTCATTAGCTCGAGATTAATGAGGCTCCTGCGCTGTCTTTAACTCCTTCCTGCTCACTAGCTCCTGCCCACAGTTGTGCTGACCCTCTGCTCCATTTCTCCTGTAGGTTTACACCGACGCCTGCTCAACGTTGACCTGGCCGAGGATTAGGGACACCGGCCACGAGTGGGGGATCCTGAGGCTGCTGCTCCCCAGAAGGTGCCAGGTCTGAGAGGGAAGGGGTGATGCACCAGGCTGCAGTTGCTGCCTGCTGAGCCTGAGGAGGAGTTTCGGCAGCACCCCGATCCCGACAAGCAGCGCCCAGCCTTTGACTCCCTCTGGAGCCCCTGAGCGGAGGAGACGTTGAGCAAAGACTGAGGGGTCAAGGGGCGCATCCTCCTGTCCTGACCCGGCGTCGATTCCTGTCCTGACACCCCGACGACGCTGCCCTCGATCCCCCGGCAGCCCCCCCCAGGGCTGCCTCTCCCAGCGCTGTCCAGCCTTGGACCCCAGCCCCGCTGGAGCGCGGCAGCCTGCCGGGCGCTGCCCCCCGGGCACTGCCCCCCGGGTGCGTCGCCCCCCGCCCCCCTGGGGACCCCCCGCCCGCCGGCAGAGCCATGAAGCTCCAGGCGGTGATGGAGAACCTGCAGCGGCAGCAGCGCGCGCGGCTGCAGCAGGCGCTGGAGGCGCGGCAGCAGGAGCAGCAGCAGCAGCAGCCGCGCTCCACGTCCCCCCCGGCGCAGCCCCCGGGGCAGCCCCCCGCCGGCACCGCAGCCCGGGGCCGCGGGCAGGACCCGGCCCCGGCGCCCTCGGAGGAGGGAGCGGAGCCCGAGAGCGCGCACATCCAGCGGGCACAGATGGCCGCCCTGGCCGCCATGCGCGCCGCCGCCGCCGGCCTCAGCCACTCGCCCAGCCCGGGGCTCTCGGATGAGAGCCAGGCCTCTGAGGAGGAGGAGGAGGAGGAAGAGGAGGAGCGCGGAGAGGACGAGGAGGATGGCGGGTACCAGCAGGAGATGGGCTCTGAGGAGGAGGAAGACCTGTGAGTGTACTTGTGCAGTTCTCATGGATTTGGGGAAGGGGCAGGGATGTGGCACCTGGGGGGCTTGGGCATGTCTGGCTGGGGACACCGGCCACCTTTGGGGCTGGGGAGTGGCAGGGGAAGCTGTAGGGGTGCTTGCAGGGATCCTTCAGCTTGTGGCTGGTAATGGATTAGAGATGTCAGGATACTCTGGAGCAGGAGCTGCTGAGAGCAGCAGCTCAGCTCTGCAGCTGTGATTCCTTGTGCTGGGCTGGTGTGGGGTGACATCTCATCTCTGCCCAGCAGCCACGTGGAGCTGTGACAGAGGACCCGAGCTGGTGTTAAATTATGCAGGACCCTTGGCTGCCTCCAACCCACATCCTCCCGGGGCATTGCTGGGCCAGGAGCCATCTGGCAGAGCCCCGCTCCATGACAGAGCTGCTCTTGGGCTCCTGGGGGTCAGCTGTGCCCCACGGAGCTGCCCCTGATGAGGGGCTGCACCAGGGCTCAGCTGTGTGCTGGGTGGGTGGTCCCAGCCCCACGGCTGGACAGTGCCCGTGGGGCAGGCAGGGGAGAGGGGTGGGTTTTTCAAACCATTGGGGGACCAAGCCTCTCCTTTCTCCCCAGCATCAGGAAGGGCAAGTGGGACGAAGATGACTTTGAAGAGGACCTAGTTGAGGAGGAAGAGGAAGAAGAGGAGGAGGAAGAGGAAGACTTTGAGGAGGATGAAGATATGGGAGAGGAAGGGCTCAGCTCGGCAGGGGCAGTACGGGCGGGCGCGGGGTCCCTGCTGCTCCGCAAGCCCCCGGCGCCCCAACACTACCGGGGGGAGCCTCCACGGCTCCAGGGGGGACAGGAACGGCTGCCCCCCGGCCTGGGCCACACGCAGCCCCCTCCACCGGCACCTGACCACGGTGACTGGACCTACGAGGAGCAGTTCAAGCAGGTGGGTGCCCGCCGAGACACGCGTGTCCCCCCTGTGCCATCCCTGTCCCTCTGTGTCTGTGCGTCTGCGGGAGCCTGGGGGGACACCTCTGGTGGTGCCACCTGTGGCAGCGTTCTCCACGGATCCAGCTGCTGTTGTTGCTAGGAAAGCGTGGGATATCTGCAGGGTTTTAGTGCTGGGTTCAGCCTCAGCCCCCCTTCCCTGGTCAGGTGGCTCTGAGTGGATCCTGTGTCCCACTTGGCACAGGTGGATGGTGCAGTGAGGTTTTCTGCAGGGACCTGGGTGGATTCTTGCTGAAAACTACAGAAAAATCACCCCAGACTTCTGTAGGGACCTGGCCATCTCTCATCACTGCAGAGGTGATGCCCAGCAGAACGACTCTGGCCCCACAGATCCTTGGTGGGGGGCAGAGCTGCTGCTAAAGAGTGAAACTGGGGAGAAAGCACCCAGCTGCCTCCTCCGTGGCCTTCCCCGGGCTGGCAGGAGGCCGGCACGCTCCTGCTCTGGAGCTGGCTGCGTTCTGCACTCGCTAATAGAAGGAAATGTGCTGGAGCCAGGGCTCCCCAGGGGCCACCCGGCACCTTTGATGTGTGTTTAAATACATCGGAGTTTGGGGCTGGGGGAAGGGGCGGGACCAGCAGCAGCAGATGGGACCCAGATGGAGCGGCCAGGGCACGGTGGCCTTTCAGGAGGGATGCGACTGCCCCTTCCCCTTTGGGGGGCTGTCGCATCCCTCCCAAAATGGGGGAAGGGGCTGCCAGGATTTGCTGGCACATCTGGATGCAGGCAGGCTCAGGACGGGGTTGGTGGAGGCAGGTCCATCAAGCACGGAGCGTGTGCCTGTCCTGCCTGGCTGTGGGAAGGAGGGATGCTCCTGCCCCGTGTGTCCCTTGTGCTGCTGCCCCCACGCCGCCTCCTCTTCTTGTGGTTTCTCTCTCTCGTGCTTCCGGCTGCCGGGGAGTGAGGGCCCGGGGCTGTGAGCTCGGAGCTGTGAAAGGGGTTTTTGATACCGCAGCTGTGATCTTCCTGTTTGTCAGCACGTTGGTGCTGCGGACCAGGCCATAGCCCCTGCCGCGTCCCCCAGCACAGCCACAGCACGTGGGGACACCAGCCCGCATCCCCCGCGCCCCAGACCGTGCCGGCAAGAGGGGCTGAGCACCATTTCACTTCCCGGGGGCGGCAGGAAGGGCCCAGGACTGGTTAATGGTGGAAGCAGCTGGAGGGGGGTGGAAAGCGACCGTGGGCGGAGGAACAGAGGCGACACGGGGCCCGGAGAGGCTTCCCCGGCACGTCAGCCCGCGCCACGGCGCTTGGATCGCGGCCACTGGAGCCGGGCCAGGGGGTTGCTGGCGCAGCACTGGCCGGGAGCTCCTCCTGGCCGCCCTCCAGCGCGTGCCGCCGGGCTCCAGCCCAGCCCAGCTGGCGCAGCCGGGGAAGGAGCAGCAGGAATGTAAACAGCGAGGGCGGCGCGGGGCAGGGGATGCCGTACCCCAGTCCCTGCTCCTCACCAGGGCAGAGGCACCTTAGGGGGAACCCGGGCAGCCCCAGCGTGCTGGAGCGTGGCCGGGTCCCTGCACGGGTGAGCCAGCTGGGATGTGGTGCTGCGTGTGGCTGTGCCGGTGCTGTGCCTGCCTGCTGCATGAGGAACGGGCTGCTTTGGGGTTCCTCTTTCTTTTTGCCAAGGAGCTCCACAGCACTGGCAACGCCCCCGCTCTCCCACCAGCTCTGATGCCTTCGCAGCTCTTCAGCTCTCCCTGAAGCTGCTGTTCAGGTTCAGCTCTGATTGTGCTGGCGTTGGGTCCCCGGGCATCCTTGTCTCTGTGTGCTCGAGGACACCGTCCTCACTGGGCAGTGCCGCCATCCCAGCCCCCCTGCCCATCTCCACACCCAAACCCCTGCCCGTGTCCTCCACTGCCAGGTTTTATTGACCCATCTGGGACAGATTCCTGCGAACGGCAGAGCCGTGGGGGACCGGAGGAAGGAGGAGGGGGCCCAGTTCAAGGGAGGAGGAAGGGGAGGGCGTGAGGAAGAGTTATGGAGGTGAGAGAGGTTAGGGAGCTGGCGCGTGGCACCTCCCCGTCCCCGGGGACGGCTACCGCGCAGGCAGAGGTCAGCTCCGCCTGACCCAGGCACTGCCGGCGCGGGCAGCAGAACAAAGGAGCCCCCAGCACAGTGTGGGGCTCGGGGGCAGCGGCTGCCGAGGGCACCGTGGTTTCTCTGGGGGGAAAAAGGAACATTTTTGGGGTGGGAGGAGGCTCCTCGGGGAAAATGGCTGGAAATCCAGTGAGCTCCTGCCACTGGCAAGAGGCTGCTGGAGACAAAACTGCTCTGGGTTCTGCACCCCAGTGCTGGGGGTGGGCTCTGCTGCTGCCCCCTGAGAACTCCCCTCTGACCTTTGTGTTTTGTTACTGCCACTGCTGCACTCCATTTATAGCAGGAGTGGGAGACCCTGGCGCAGTGGCAGTGCCAGTTTGTGGCCTCTGCACCTTTTGGAGTTTCCTGTGGTGCCGGTGCTCCTCGGGCACGGGCACCCCGGTACCCCGTCCCTGGGGTGGATCTGTCTCACGGTGCTGCCCTGGCTGCTGATGTTTAACCCTGCATTTCTGCTTAAGGAAGCCTTTAAGAAGCTGCAGCGGTGCCGGGGGAAGGCTGTGCTGGCTGGGGTGAGCTGGTGGGGTGCCAGTGCTTTGTGGGGGTGGGAGGTTTCTTACACTGTCCCAGCCAGGGCGTTTGAGCAGTGTCAGTGGCACATGGGGGCGAAAACCTCAGCCCTTATCTCGTGCAGCAGCACCCCGAGATACGGCGTTTCAAAGTGCAACGGTTGGGGGAAAAATAAACTGAAAGCAACTCGGTAATCTCAGTGGGGCCACAGGGAGGGGGGGGCGATACCGGACCCTCCCACACACACCCAGACCAGCTCACGCACGTGGCTGATGGAGCTGGGATTTTTCAGGAGAGTCTGGAAAGGCAGAGAGCCCATATCTCCTCTGAAGCCCCGGGCGTTGGTTAAGGTGTGGGGATCCCCTCTGAACCCCTTTCTCCCATGGATTGTTTTCCTTTCCAAAACCCAAAGCCAACCAGGGGCGTGCAGCCGGAGCGGGGGCCCCCTGGCCTCTTAACAAGGGCGGGAGGGTCCATTTACTTTCTTTAAAATATTGATTAGAGCTTTATTGCATTAGCCAGCCGAGCGGATGAGCCTCCCCCAGGGAGGGTGAGGGGGCCCCTGTGCAGGGAAGGGGGACCTGAGCGTCATTATACAGCTGGGGGCCACTGTCCCCCACCCCCGAGGTGGTTTGGCTCACAGATAACGGGGAGCGCCCTGGGGCCCCTGGCCAGGCACTGCTGTGCAGGGGAGGTGATTGCAGCGCCTGGCCAGGCCAGTGACAGATAATGGGGGTGAGGAGGGGACCCAAGCAGGACAGGGCTCTGGGCACAGTGAGGGTGTTGCTGGTGGACCCCTTCCAGGAAAAGGGCTGCATCGTCCCCCCACCCTGGCACAGCCGTGTCCCCTCTTGCTCTGCACCACTGCCCAACCTGCCAAAGGGTGCTCCCAGCCGGGGATCCAGCCCAGTAATTGGCTCATAGTGCTCAGGGAGCATTCCCGGAGCTGTAATCCCCCCAGATCCCTGGCCGGAGGTCAGGGACTTCTCGGCGAGAGCGGCTTAGCCGCCGAGTGCCTCCCCCAGCCAGACGCCTGGGTGCCCACAGGTGCTGGTCCCAGCACTCAAGGCAAACTGTGAAACTGTTTCTCACAACAAGACCCTGGATAATTAACGAGGTGAGGGACAGGAGACATGAGCTTCCTGCCCCAAGTACCCAGCCAGCACCTTCACCCATCTGGACTGTGCCCCTGACACCTCTTGTCTTGGGAGCTGGGCTGGCTCCCCCCAGCCCAGGCATGGCCTGCTCGTGTTCCCCCAGAGCCCCCTTTCCTCTGTGCCCCCACTTCCCAGAGCTGCGTTCCCCCCACGCCCCGGCCCCCCGGGCTGACTCAAGGGCTGCGGAGGCGGTGGCCGCCTCCCCACTCGGCACAGCTGAACTAACAGGGATGAGGGTTTATTTAAAAGAAGGGAAAAAAAGAAAAGAGTGGCACGGGGAGCGGGGCCTTTGTCAGCAGAGCCCCCAGCCCCCACCGCAGTGTTAGGCAAGGGCAGCGTTGCTCCATCGCCCTATTTCTGGCCCAAACCACAGGAGAGATGGCAGCTGGTCCCAGGGCCCGGCCGGACATGCTGCAATCGGGGGCCAGGAGGAGGGGCGGTTTGGGGACAGGGGGAACCCCCTGCTCTCCTCTGGGCTCACTCCTGGGGCAGCTGGATTGGGGGCTTAGGGCACAGCTCCTGGCTCAGCTCCTGACCTGCTCCCTGACCCTTCCCATCGGTCACTTAATCTGCCTGTGCCTGGGTCCCCGCTCCGTCCAGAGCTCGGGATAATCCACCCTGTGCTGGGGCTGCTGGAGGCCAGGGCTCACCCCTGGGGAGGGCTCCCCATGTGTCCCAACGTGGCCCTATCGGTGCTGTGACAACAGCCCTTTGGGAGAGGGCTTCCCTGTGTCCCCACAGCAGCTGGTTTGGGGTCTCACCTTGGTACAGATGGCAGGGGGAGCCCCTTCAGCAAAGGGCTTCACCTCCTGCTTCGTTTTCCCCACTGCCCACAAGCCACTGTGGAGCCTCCAGCTTGGGCACCAGTGCCTGATTTTGGAGATTCCAGCACCTGGGATATGCTGTCCCATGCTGCCACCTGCTCTGGTGCCACAGTGGGGTGGGGTTGGCGCTGCTCTGGTGCTGTGCTGGTGCTGCCCATCACGCCCCCTCCCCTAGGCAAGGTTTCGGTGGTGCTGGAGCAGCTCGGCAGTAATGGCTCCCAGGGCTGACAGCCCACAGCTGGCTCCTGTCAACCCCATCTGCAGCTGCTGGACCCCTTCCAGCGCCTCCAGCAGCTCCACGGCGGGGTTCCCAGGGGTTCCGTGTGCCCTGGCCCTTCCCATGGGGCACCCGGGACCC